AGGGTCTTTTAATGGGATAAGGCTAGATGTGATACATGATATTAGGTGACTTGGAAGAGGGGGCAGCTAGAGAAAGCAAGGATTCTGCAACTGCCCTTTCCCCGCTCCTGCTCAGTTTGAAAGGGTTTTACCCCCAATGCTTTCTTGAAAAGCCTGTTTATTCTGGGTTTGGTGCATAGGGATAGAGCTCTAAATTCTGAAGTTGCCCTTTGCTGAACCCTTGAAAGAGTTCCAGTTATGGGTTGAGTAAATGGTAGCCATGACCAGATGTCAAAATCCTTCCTTCCCTCTCTCTGTCCCCTGCCGGGTAGCAAAACTCACAACCCACTTGGTTGTGAAAAAACTTAGGTTTAAGAGGAGATGGTGCGGCAGCGCCACCCCTCGGTGGATACAACTATTAGCAAAAGTCAAATACTGGAAAAAATAATTGTGAAATTACCTTCATGGGGGCCATATATTATGTATAGAATCTGGGGAGATGGAAAAAGTCTAAGGTGACAAAACGTTGAAGAGGAAAACCTGGCAGGTTGATCTCTCCAATAGGGAAGAAAAGCATTGTTTGCCAGCTAGCATAGTGTCACACTTGGAGATGTTGTTCTAGAAACCATGTAGGGAAAGTGGCATAAGAGGCATGGCGGCGTGGTGTGTGTGTGTGTGTGTGTGTGTGTGTGTGTGTGTGTGTATGATGGTTGACTTTAAGACTAGGTCTCTGGGCGGAGGAGTTGTACTTGACTTTTCAGGACACCTAAATTCTGTCTGACAGATAAGCAGGAGTGTGTGTGTGTGTGCTTGTGTGTGTGTGTGTGTGTGTGTGTGAAGTGTTGCCGTTTAGCTGGCCGTGGCGGTGGGATAGGACTGTGGATGGCCTGGAGCTGTGGCTGGCAGGCTGTGTGGGTCCAAGCCGCTCGGCGCACATACGCAGGTCTCTTTACTGAACTGCGCAACAAGTGGGAACGCCACCACCGCGCTGCCAGCAGCCCAAGGAGCAGCGCGAAGCGCAGAGCCCAAGCGGCCAGCTTCTCTTAGCTCCAAAGGAAGCCAGCAACCGCTCTCCAAACCCTTCCCACCACCTAGTCCACCCAGAAGACCAGATTCCCCTGCCCAGCTCCTGCTTGGTCGTGCGCTGGCAGTCCCAGGGAGAGCCTGCCTGCCTTGGCTCCCCCTCAATCCCTTTCCTTTACGGAGAGAGATGATGAATGTTTTCCCGACTTTCTTTGCTGGCTGATAGCATTTAAAAATAGAGAGAAATTGCAAAAATCTCACTTAACATCGCCACCCAGGGTTCTATTTGAAGAAAAGCGCACCTTTTCTTTCCCTTCCCAAGATAGCTATTTTTTAATGGGGTGGGGAGATCCACGTAGGATGCATAAAAAGCAGTTCCAGAAACTGCGTGGTGATTACTAAAGGCGTTGAGCGTCAGGAAGAAGGGATTATATTCACTAAATTGTTTTCCAGCTTTGGTTTTGGAAACATCTCTATCCCCACCCCCACGAGACAGAAAGAAAAATAAATAAATAAAAGGAAGGGACCCAGTGTGGAAGACCGTGGCCGAATAATGATCCTCAGATGGACTGCGTCTGCCACCTAGTGGCGAATCGTGGTCACTGCCTCTGCAGTGAGCGTGAGGTCGACCCTTTCACCTTGGGGTTTGTGTCTAGAACAGAGGAAGGAGACGCTCCACCGGGGACAGTGTCCGATATAAGAGGTTTTTGTTTTGTTTGTTTGTTTTTTAATGGATTGTTAGGAATCAGAAAGACCCCAGATGCTTGCCTCTGTTGATAATCACTCCGTAATCCACATTTATCTCAGCCAAGAGAAACATTCAACTCTTTGAGGATATCTACCTGTGGCTGTGGCCCCTCTCTGGGATGATGGAAGGATGTCATCCAAAACCCAAGAGCTTAAGGGCTCGACTTCTATTTTGAAGATGAGAAAATAGACTTGCCAGCAACCTAACCAGGCCTAGGCAGTGGCACAAAGTCACAGGCAAAATTTACCTCTGCTTCTTTAAAGTATCCAAGTGGAAGAAGAAAACACCCTCCCCTTAAAGTGTGCATGTGTGTGTGTGTGTGTGTGTGTGTGTGTGTGTGTGCCAGTACTGTGACTTAAACCCAAGGCCTGGGCGCTGTCCCCATAGCTTTTTGTTCAAGGCTGGTATTCTACATCCGGAGCCAGCTCCACCTCTGGCTTTTTGGTGTTTAATTGGAGATAAGAGTGTCACAGACTTTTTTTGCTCAGGTTGGCTTTGTACAGTGATCCTTGGATTTCAACTTTCAGAGTTTCTAGGGTTACAGGCTTAAACTGTCAGTGTCTAGCTCAGAGCGCTTAGTTTAACCACATAGGTCTCTATAAGTAGGCAGTGCACCTTACAAATGGCTTCCTATCACTCTTAGAGGAGATTGTTCAGAAAGCATGGCCTAAGATTTCGGTGATGGACAGAAGAGTTGTCATGGTACTGAGGAGTGACGTGTCTCGAATCTTGGAGGTATGCATATACTGGAGTCGGGGGTGAGTGCTTAATGCCTACCAAGTATGTCAGGTTGCAGAAATGCACCATGCGACTCCAGAGGTTCATATTTGGACCCTGACATCATTCCTCCTAATTCCTCTATCCTTTGCTCAGTAGCTTGGCGAGGAATCAAGTGTGTACATGTGTGTGCATGTGTGTGGGATTTTGAGGGGGGGGGAGCGTAGCATATGGATAGGCAGAACGTCATCCTGGAATGTGTGCCACAGCGTCTCAGTAAAGATTTTTGAGTTCTTGATTTAAGGTGGCAAAATGAGCATCAGCCCGCTGGTGACCTCTAGTGGCGGCTTGTGTGCTCAACAGCCCCAGACAGCAGTCTACCCGCCTCCCCCTTCCTACTGCTTACCCCCCTCCCCCATCCAAGTCTGCCGGAATCAAGTTCAGCCTCTCCCTCTGCGGGAGCTGTCGGAGGCAGAGTCGGAGAAATGCGCCTCTGTTTCGGGTTGGAAAAGAATCTGGGGACGTGTTTGAAGCGCGGTCAAGTTTGACTCATCGCTTTCCAAGGACAGTTAGTGCCTTCCATCTTCATTAACGTGAATAAAGACCTTGGCTGACTTCTGTCCAGATCGAATTTTAAACGGCATTGTTTGCTTGTGGAGATCATGCTTCCCGCCCCTCCCTCTCCAATTTTTTTTTTTTCTTCTTGCTAAGGCGGAGTTCAGTCCAGTAGGATGGTCAAGAGATCTCTGCCCAGGGTCGTGGTTTGCTGGCATTTAACTGCAGGCCTTCTGGAAGGCTATTTTCGATTGGGCGAAAGGAGGGGGGCGGGGGGGGGGGAGAAGTGTACTTTCTGCTGCTCGTCTTCAGATCTTGCTGATAAAACACATCCCTTCATTTTATTGCATTTCCTCGAAGCTTGTAGGCTTGCTAGTGCGCTGAGGCAGGAAACGTGATGGAAAGGAAAGTCAGGACAGAAAGTCCCGAACACCTTGGTTCCCCCAAGTAGCTCATCCACACCCTTGTGCTGTCAAACTTGCTTTTTATCTACTGTCCCTTCTCCTGCCTTCCCGGGCCCCCTAGCCCAGAGCACAATGTGTCCTTCATTACCCCCAGAACAAAAGCAACCCAACAGCTTGACCCTACCCCCTACTGCCAAGACCTGGGTGACTATGGCCGCTGCCTGTTGGCTGAGAGGCTGCTGCAGACCCCCAGTAGGAGTCCTGATGGGCACTTCACTGCAGCAGCTCCAATCTTATTAAAATTCCTTGTCTCTGTCCCCAAACAGTGCTTTGCACTTTCAAAATTCCCCTTTGGCTTTTTTTTTCCAGCGAGTTATTGGAGTTATTAGTTTACCAACAATCCAACAGCCGGCCTGGATAGAAAGGACGGGGGAGAGCAGGGAGAAGGCATTCTTCAAATCAAGACTCTGGCTAAACTAGGTCAATGAAAAGGAGAGGCGGGCGAGGAAAGGCTTGTCTTTTCAAGAGTTGATGGAGAGCGCCCTCTAGTGTTAGGCAGCGGTAAAGACATGATTGGGGAACCACCGGACTCCCCATTTCCAATAAAAGCCCAATCTAACGCCCTAGATTCTCATTCCTATCCCATTCTAACCTCTTGTAATCCCCACCCTTCCTCCCCCGCTTTGCTTTTGGGTAAAAGGATGAGACAACCACAAAAACAGGGATCTTGAGAGTCCTCAGTCCTTTGAGGACCAACTCTCACCCCGCCTCCACCTCAGAAGGGATGCGCGGCGCACTGTGACGCCTTCCGCTAGTTTTAGGACTAGAGCCTGATTTCCTCCCCGTCCCCCCAGTCCCCCGCCCCAAAGCCTCTTGAGTGGTCATAGAGATCATTTGGGAGATGGAACTCAGAGGCTTTAATTCCTGGGAAAGGCGAGGCAACTTTGGAGTGTGCCAGCCAGCCAGCGCGCATGCTGGGGTTCGCGCCCTCCCCGGGCCTCTGCGTACTGGGAACCATATCTCTAGGATTTCTGGATAATTGGATTCAGAAATCCCGAAACCCGGCCAAGGTTCAGCCTGGTGGATCCAGATCCTGGTAGACTTTGTAGCCAGCATACCCGGATGGGGTTTTGTAGATTAATTTTTCTCCAATTCCTTTGGGTATCCCAGGTTGGACCCTTATGAACTCTAAGTATTTCGTCTTTGAAACTTTTAACATCTCGTCTAAATGTCCCCCTTTAAAAAAAAAAAGCAGGGAAAGAAAGGGAGGCAAGCAAAAAGAGAGAACAGGACACATCAGGCAAACAAACGGCAGAATTGGGCAACTTAAGTCTAGACTTGAACCTCTGATTGGATCCAAACTCCTGAGTTCCGTCCCGGGCTCGGCTACGAACTTGTCTGTCTTTGCCTACTTGTAAATTGTGCTGGGGAGGGGTGGGATTAGGTGAACTCAGAGCCCTGGAACCCGAGTCGACTGGGGAAAGGGGGACTTATTTTCTCTCCCTTCCCCCCGCCCCCGTCCGCCCCCCCCCCCCCACCTCCGTCCCCGGGTGAATCCCGGCGCCGCACAGCGATCCTGGCAGCCTTCTGGGACCAGCAGCTTCCTGGAAAGTTACTTCTGGTTGGAGCCGGGCAATGGGCAGAGTGTTCTGTGAAATCCACTGAGCTGAGATCGACTAGGTTCCGGGAATGAGAGGGCTGTGCTATTCCCCTCAACTACCCCCTGCCTTGAAGGCTTAACAGGAAAAAAAAAAAGGCATATGCACAATGTTAGCTACCGAAGTGCGTGAAAACTTTTATTTGGATGTCTCTAAATTAAGCGCCGCTACCATCCTACCACTCGGCTTCCACCGCGCCTTCTGGAGCTTGGAAGTAAATGGGCAGCCTCAATCCCCGAGCCTGCTGATTGCCAGGGGGTGGGCGGACCCTGGAAGACAGGTATGGTGAGGTGAGGTGGGTGGGCGAGTCTGCGCAGGCTTGCTCTGGCTCTGCCGCTGCTGCTGGGTTTCTGTTTGTGCTGGGGGGGGGGGGGGCGTGCACACGCGCACGCGCGCGCGCGTCTGATACCAACCCAGTGGAGAAAAGGAATGGGGTCTTTCTGACTGGAGCACTTTCTTACTCTTCACCTCGCCTCTTAGATTTCTTTTTTCCCCTCTCGTTTGCGTGTGCTATTTTTCCTCTTTGCTCTCGTTTTGTTTTTGTTTTCTTTTGGCCTTCTCCTCCCCCAACCACGGGAAGCGCATTTGGAGTACCTCCTTGTGTCTCACTGAATACACACAAGGAAAATGCGAAAGGAGGGACGAAGTGGGTAGACTTGACAACTTTTAACTCTTCTCTCTCCTTTTGGTGGTGACTGCACTCAGCGCTGAGGTTTGGTGGGGAGGTCCTGGGCTGGACTCCTAGTGGTTAAGTTTCTCCTTGATGATCCTGATCTCTTGGTGGTTGCATGGTGGTCCCATACTCTGGGTGGTGGTTTGAATGTCTGAGTCTTGGAGAGGCATTGGTGTGACTGTACCTGGTAAAAAAAGGGTTATCAAGGACTTTTTTAGAGATTGGATTTGAGTTCTTGGACAAGGCTTCTTTTTGGAACCTCTGTTTCCTCTGCAGTAGATCAGGGCTATGTTAAAAAAGATGTAGTCATAGATGGGACAAAGCTTGTGTTTTGTAGAAAAACCGATGCTTCTGCATCTGTCACATCTTTGCTCTCACCTCTGGAAGCTGTGGGCTACTAAACTGGAGTTAGCTGAACTTGTTAAGGAAGCAGGCTACCTGGGTGTGCATTTGCTTTTGCTCAGGCCACGAGGAGGTTCAAGGTGACAGCCCAAGGCTGGGCGGTCCCAAATATTTGTCTTTTGTTTGATTGCTACAGTCTGCATCTTGAGTGAGTCACAGCCACTTGCCATGGTGAAATGGCAAATCCCAGCTTCCTGTGGTTCCAAAAGTCTGTGACTGGAAATCCACAATTGAGCCAGTGGTTAAAGCCGGTTAAAAGACAGCCTGGGTATTCTAGAAGTGTTTGAGAATCGAGGAGAAAGCGTATACATAAACTCCACGCTGTCTTCAGCATTGTTTTTCAGAGGAAATACTCATTGCACTCTGGTTAGGGCTTAGTGTATCTCTCTCTACCTACCTTTGACTTGGAATGAGGAGAGGAGGAGATAGGTTCTGTTGTATTTTTCTGTTCTGTTCTCTCCCTTCCCCTGTTTCCTTCTTCAATCCCCTCTCATGCACATGCGCACATTAACCTTGAAGCTGATGAGATTGAGTGACTGGCACTTGGGACCACAGAGAAATGTCAGTGTTTGGTTACAGACTCAAGAAAACCTCTCATTTTAGAGTGCTCATTTGGTAAGACTCAGCAGCCTGGAATGGGGCAAAGTTTGTGTGGGGGAAGGAACTTAAAAACGAGATTCACCCACCTCAGGGTGCTGTGTCTCATGTTCCATAGCACGTAGGCTGATTTGGAAAGGGGACAGGAATTTGAGCCAGAAGACCTAGGGCCAGGCCATTAGCCATCTACGTGGCCCAACATGACCTCACGGGCCTTCGTCAGGCCCCTTTACCCAGAAAAATAGCTCCAAAGGGCTGTGCTTTTTAAAATGAAGGAAGAGAGTTCCAATCTTGTTCTGTTTTGCTGTCTACCTATGCTCCTAAATGTCTTACACCCAGGCTCTTAATGATTTTTGTTTTAGAGAAACCAATTTGGAGAGAGCACATATTTCATTAAATCTCTTTAAAGATGAGTGCTCCCCAGGCTAGTTCTCAGCTAACTACACAGTTAAATCGTTTCCTACCAGGAAGAAGTACAAATTTGGAAGCCAGGGCATTGTATCTGGCCTTAGACTTCAGAGGGAATGGAGAGGAAACTTTGAAAAAGAGGGCAAAGATAATGAAGGAATGCATAGAAGTGCCTTCTCTGGTTATATTCTGTTGACTCCGTATTTAGTCCTCAATGTTTCAGATTCAGGAAATACTTCCTGGCTATTTGTCCTGAACAAGTCACTCGAACCATCAAGTTTCAGTTTTGTCACCAGGGAAGGATGGATAGAGATATCGAACCTATCAGCTTCATGAAATCACTTTAAGACTTGAAAGACAATATTTTTAGCAGGTTTTGAATAGTGTCCAGTGTTTTTGGGTCCCTGAAGGATCATTATCATTAATATTGAAAGAACTACTTTTTTTTTTTTTATTTCCCGTAAACTCAAGTGGCCTTTGGATGTATAAATTTTTTATTTAGAGAAAGGAACTATATGTGTACATGTATTTGTAATTAATGTATTTTCAATACTGAGGGTAGAAATATTATGATTTCAAAGCTTCAGAGTCCCATTGTTTCTGAAAAGGGCAGAACTGGAGTATGTTTGCTAGCTTGTGGTAAAACCACACCAGCTGGCAGGCTGCAACTATCAAAGCAAAACTAACTACGTGTATCCTAAAATAAGACTACAGTGGACAACCTTAACATTCATTAAATCAATTTCTCTTGGCTTTCTTCTTTGTAGGTTTTAAGCAAAATTTTGAACTGTGAAGCAAAGCCTTGGGTAAGTGGATGGAATTCTATGCTTTATAATTTTGTGGATAAATTGTTTCTTTTTTTTTCATTTTGCAAATGCATGTGTTTTGATGAACTTTGCATTGGAAGAGACAAAGAAAAATGAATTCCTTGTATCTCGCAACTAGCTTTCACTCCTACATGGTTAGACTTCACACTGTTGCGTGGTGATTCCTTCTTTTCTCATTCTTCACCCTAGAGAAGGTAGCCACCTGCTGTGCCCCAACAATGGCCCAGTCAGTGCTAAAATAAAAAGCAAAACAAGTCTGAATCCAAGTTGTGGGAGAACTAGATTATGATCAGGATAATGAAATGAAATAAAGTACTGATGGAAATAGTTTATATATTTTTTTTCCTGTGGCCATATATTAGCATTTTTTAGTTAAGGGTGGTATTCTATCAGTTGAGCCACGAATCCATTCCTGGATTTGTGTGTGTGTGTGTGTGTGTGTGTTTAATAGGTGTGTGTTTAATAGAGTATAAAAATGTAATGGGCTTTCCTGCCTGAGCTGGCTTTGAACTGCCCTTCTTGGATCTTAGTCCTGAGTAGCCAGGATTAGAGGCAGAAGCCAACAGGACCTGGGTATGGCTGCAATTTTTTGAGAACCTGCTGTGATCTGGCACAAATCTCTAAACTTTACAACTACGTGGGTATTCCTGTGTCTATTTGGTAAGAGCAAAGCCTAGAAACAGCAGCAGGCTCCAAGCCACAGGGCTAGCATAAGGAAAAGTTAGCCTCATGGTCTTTCTCCATTGCAACATACTTCCCTGCCTCTCAATGCTTGGCAAGGTCTTTGGTACGTTAGGAAAACATTCAACAACAGTTCTTCCCTTCCACCTAAAGAACTTCCTATGCCAGCTTCTGATAAAGGTTTTTCTTCTCATTGTGTAGAACACCCAGAGGTGGGTGATGAGTTGCTCAAAGATGAAACACAGAGGACCTAGGTTGCATTTCATATTTCATACCTGAGCAGGTTAAACCATCTATCTGCTTTGTTACTCTTGGTAGGCAAGAAACAGTTTCTTGAGGACTCATAGAATTTTGACTTCTTTTGTTCAGGTGAAGACAAAATGGCCTCACCGGCTGACAGTTGTATACAGTTCACCCGCCATGCCAGCGACGTCCTTCTCAACCTTAATCGCCTCCGAAGTCGAGACATCTTGACGGATGTTGTCATTGTGGTTAGTCGTGAGCAGTTCAGAGCCCATAAGACAGTTCTCATGGCCTGCAGGTGAGTGGTCTTAAGGGAAGGGGGATTGTAGAAAAGAGGGCTGACCATGCTGGCAGCCAGTGGAGACAGAACTGTGTATGGAATGACTCCTGGCTTGTCTGTTAGATAGCAGCACAGGGCCTGGTGTTGCAGCCGGTATGGATGTGAATGAATGTGTGCCCTTACGCACTTTCAGGAGAGAAACACTTTCTGTTTTGTGGACATAGAAGGAGGAAATCACAGACTACAACAGGGAAGGGTGTGTTTAGTGTGAGCAGGAAGAATAACTTCAGTTAACCAGTGAAAAAGGAAGAGTCTCTAGTATAAGCAACGTAATTTGAACTTTTGTGCTTTTTGGGGTGAGGCGGGGGCTATAATTGTGTTTGTTTTATCTTGGGAGTATGTTTCCATGAGTGTATAAAGTGGTGTGAGACTTGAGAGCTAATTCTTTAATATTTTCAATATTGATGTGTTATATTAATTTGTCTCCTTAGATCTTTCTAGTAATCATGTGTGCTAAGATGGCACTATACCTCCATTTAATTATCAATTTTTTCTAGTCCTGGGTCTGGAAGTCAGGTCCTGGGTGCTGTATCTGAGCTTTTCATTGCTCAAGGCTTTACCATTTAGGCCACAGCTCTATTTCTGACTTTTTGTTGGTTAGTTGGAGATAAGTGTTTCACAGACTTTATGGCTTGGCTGGCTTCAAACAGTGATCCTTAGAGCTCTGCCTCCTGAGTAGCTAGGATTACAGGTGTGAGCCACCAATGCCCAACCATACCTCCATTTTAATAGATAAGTTTTTTTTTTTAAGCACTAGCTTTGATTCTATATCATTTCACCTAGAATCAGGGTCTCTATTGCAATTAGAGTACATATCCAACATCTCCTGTGCAGCACTTAAAAAAATAGTGTTGAAGTCCCAGTTTGAGGCTAGCTAGACAAAAAGTTAGTGAGACACCTTATAAGTAAATAAGCCAGATATAGTGGTGCATATCTGTAGTTTCTACTACACAGGAGATGTAGGTAGGAATGATACAGTCCCAGACCAGCTCCAGGAAAAACTGAAAGACCCTAGCTGAAAAAGAACTAAAAGCAATAATGGGTTGGGGATGTTGCTCAAGTAACAGAACACCTGAATACCAAGTGTGAGACTCCAAGTTAAAACTCCCAGTACCATAAAAAAAAAAAAAAAAAAAAAAAAACAAATAGTGTAGAGGACAGAGGTTTATAGTGGTCTAACAATAGTGGCCAATGTTCAGTAAGTGTGTGCCATGCTTATCAGGTAGGCATCATTTCATGCCCTTCATACGCTAATGCCCATTCCAAAGTAATGCTATTATTCTCCCTAATTGATCTTAGCCAAGGCTGCACAACTACTTATAGGTGACAGCCTGAAGTGAGATGATCACATGGAACAATTGACTTGATTATCTCTGGGCTTTTGGGAAAAATGGTAGGATGTATGTGAAGGCATCATTTTATTTGTTTCTCATCTATACCCAACTTCTTATCCTAAAAACAAACAGCACATTTTTTTTTTGAGAAGAGAATAAGGTGATAGAACAAGAGGGGAACCATCCCAGAAATGTAGACTAAGAATAGATACTAGGAATGAATGCTAAATTTAACTTTGGTAATCCACACAGTTAAGACTAAAAGAACAGCAGGCACTGTGACTTTGAGCATATCACTTAACCTCTGTCATCTCAGTCACCACTTTGTAAAAGTGAAACATGGTAATGTTTATCTCACAGGGTTGTGAAGAAGGCAGGCAAATGTATGTAAGGTGCCTTAGGACTCTCTGGTATTTGGTAAGCTCTCCCAAGTCCAAGCTGTTATTTATTCCATGGAAGTTCAGAATATAGGCCCTGGGAAGGAGAGCTCATCCACGCTGCTATTAACATCCTACAGATTCTTTCTGTCTACTATAATGGGACATTTGCTTGTTTTACAGTGGCCTATTCTATAGCATCTTCACAGACCAGTTGAAATGCAACCTCAGCGTGATCAATCTGGATCCTGAAATCAACCCTGAAGGGTTCTGTATCCTCCTGGACTTCATGTACACATCTCGGCTCAATCTGCGAGAAGGCAACATCATGGCTGTGATGGCCACAGCCATGTACCTGCAGATGGAGCACGTTGTGGACACGTGCCGGAAGTTCATCAAAGCTAGGTGAGCTGAGATGCTTCTCGATCAGAAACCCTTGAGAATTCATGCATTCAAAAAATAATCTAATATAATATGCAGCAGTCTACATTGCTACTATGATTGCATTTCTGTCATTGTCGTCATCCTTGTCCTCCTCTTCCTCCTCCTCCTTTTCTCCTCTCTCCTCCTCCTCCTCCTCCTCCTCCTCTTCCTCTATTATTATTATTATTATTTCTTTGTTGATGGTCCTGGAGCTTGAACTTAGGGCCTGGGCACTGTCCCTGCACCTCTTTGTGCTCAAGGCTGGCGCTCTACCACTTGAGCCGCAGATCCACCTCCAGCTTTTTCTGAGTAGATTATTGGAGATACTGGTCTCACAGATTTTCCTGCCCAGGCTGGCTTTGAACCATGATCCTTAGATCTCAGCCTCCTGAGTAGCTAGCGAGGATTATAGGCATGAGCCACCAGTGCCCAGCAATGTATAGCCCAGGCTGGTCTGGAAGTCAACATCCTCCTGTCTCATCCTCCTTGCTGATTACTGGCATGTGCCACTATGGCCCGTGTCTGTCCTTCTTAGCTCTTTCACTTTATGCAGACTTGACCCCTTATAGCTGTCCAGGTGCACCCAGTTCATTATCCCCTCTTGGTTTCTTCTAGGATCCTGCAAAAGCCAAACCTTTGGGTCTCAGGCTCTTGCTTTGCTTTATTTGCTCAAGGCTGGTGCTCTACCATGTGAGTGACAACTCCATTCTGGCTTTTTAGTGCTTAATTGGAGATGAGTCTCATGGACTTTCTTGCCCAGAATAGCTTTGGACCATGATCCTCAGATTTCAGCTTCCTGAGAAGCTAGGATTACAGGCATGGGCAGCTAGAGATCAGTTTAGACATTATTATTCTGATTACTACTCTTCCTCCTCCAGCTCTTCCTCTATGTTCTACAGCATCTTACTTGTCTTTTAGGCCTTCCTTTAAAAAATTTATATATTTTTGTTCTTTAGATTTCTGTTACAACTGTACACATGCTTCCCCAATTTCCCTACCAAACTGTGGATTATTTAAATTGATAGGAACTGCTTTGCTCAACTTTTGTATCACTCTGTTCCTATTAAGGAGAACATTTTTTTTTGCCAGTCCTGAGGCTTGAACTCAGGGCTTGGGCACTGTCCCTATGCTTCTTTTGTTTGTTCTACCACTTGAGCCACAGTGCCACTTCCAGCTTTTTCTATTTATGTGCTGCTGAGGAATCGAACCCAGGGCTTCATGCGTGTGAGGCAAGCAGTCTACCACTCAGGCACATTCCCAGCCCCTGCAAGAACATTTATTGAACCTGGTTTAGTTTAGTGGTCTAAACTTCTTCCCCAAGCAATGGTAGATATAATCATCACTGAAAGGGAAGGATCCTGAGAACCAAAGAAGTAAAGAGCTTCTCAAAATGGAACAGAGACTAAGGCTTAACTTCTTTGGAACCATTTGAGCCAGCTGCTCTAGAATGACTGTGTCCTTACTCAACAGAAGTGTGCTCCAACATGTGACTAGGAACTCAGTATTCCCAGAGCTGCACATTCCACACTGGACAGTTAGATAGCTCTTCTTAATGGCCATTTGAAAAATCTGGCTCCTTTAGCTTTCACATATTAGTTCTAGCTCTGTTCACTGTGATCATGTTGAACTGGCCTACTTTTACACCCACATAATGTCCCTTCAAGTCTTTGCGGTCAGAGCTCTCCTGTGGGTAATCATGGTGGCAAGTTCATCATGAAGGTCATCTGTGAGTACTTTGTATAGGCCAAGTCTTGTGCTCTGAACTATAACTTGCTACAAGTCACTTAGTTGTTAAATGGCACAGATAAGTTTTTCCAAAGAGGATTGTCTGCTCTAGAATCAGGGCTTCTTGTATTAGCATTTGCTATCCATTCTCCACCGTTAACCTCCCTGAGAGTCCATTCAGCACATGGGCAGCTCCTTTATTTAATAAAGAACTATAAGTTTTGCATGGTACCTGCATTGAATATATTGTATATATTGCCCCTCTCTGGTTTTATGTATGTCAGGTACCTGCTTTTCCTTCCTTGTAGGAATCTTTTGCGTGTCTGACAGGAGACAGGGACTTTTAAAGCTTTATATAAGCCATAAAAGCCATAAAAGTAACATCAGAATATGATAGACTCACAGACATTCATGTATAGGTGCCTTCAATTTACAGGATCATATCTGATCAGCTACTGATTGTATAGGTAGCTCATCTGCCTTCTCTGGGCCTCAGTTTCCTCAGCTGTAGCCTAGATGCCTTGAAGCCATGTTTCAGTGCAACATTCCCCGGTGTCCAACTGACTCAAGCACAGACATGGTTACATAACAGTGCCACTGCAAGGTCATCTGCCTAACAGTTCTAATTTTGGGTCTGGTGGCTTTTCTCTTTTTTGTTTTCTCCAACAGTGAAGCAGAGATGGTTCCTACCATGAAGCCTCCTCGGGAAGACTTCCTCAACAGCCGGATGCTGATGCCCCAAGACATCATGGCCTTTCGGGGCCGGGAAGTGGTAGAAACCAGCCTACCGTTAAGAAATACCCCCGGGTGTGAGAGCAGACCCTTTGCCCCCAGCCTGTACAGTGGTCTGTCCACACCACCAGCCTCTTATCCCATGTACAGCCACCTCCCAGTCAATGGCTTCCTCTTCCCTGATGAAGAGCTGCGAGATGCCCGGATGCCTGTGGCCAACCCCTTTCCCAAGGAACGGGCCCTTCCCTGTGATAGTACCAGGCCAGTCCATGGTGAGTACAGCCGGCCAGCCATGGAGATGCCGCCCAGTGTGTGCCACAGCAACATCTACTCACCCAAGGATGCAGTCCCAGATGAAGCACGAAGCGACATGCACTACAGTGTGGCAGAGGGCCCCAAGCCTGCTGCCCCCTCGGCTAGAAATGCCCCATACTTCCCTTGTGACAAGACCAGCAAAGAAGAAGAGAGACCCTCTTCAGAGGATGAGATTGCCTTGCACTTCGAGCCCCCCAATGCGCCCTTGAACCGGAAGGGTCTGGTTAGTCCACAGAGCCCCCAGAAATCTGACTGCCAGCCCAACTCACCCACAGAGTCCTGCAGCAGCAAGAATGCCTGCATCCTCCAGGCTTCTGGTTCCCCTCCAGCCAAGAGCCCCACGGATCCCAAAGCCTGCAACTGGAAGAAGTACAAGTTCATCGTGCTCAACAACCTCAACCAGAATGCCAAACCAGAGGGGCCAGAGCAGGCTGAGCTGAGCCGCCTCTCCCCGAGGGCCTACCCTGCCCCACCTGCCTGCCAGCCACCCATGGAGCCTGAGAACCTTGATCTCCAGTCCCCAACCAAGCTCAGTGCCAGTGGGGAGGACTCCACCATCCCCCAAGCCAGCCGGCTCAATAACCTCGTTAATAGGTAATTTCAGAGGCTGTCTGATTAGAGATTACCTAGGCATGGGTTGCGTCATTTCTTTTGATGGGTGCAGGAGCTTGGCGTTAAAAAAAAAAAAAAAATTGTCTGAATTAGCACGTGATCAAATTAACCTAAAGTAGGAAGTACTTACACTGAAATACTTTTTAAATTCATTTTTAAAATTATATTTAAGTAGTCATGCAAATGGGTTTCAATTCCACAAATAGTCTGAAAGTACAATGCTTCTTGATCAGTATCACCTCTCGTCATTTCCCCCATTTAATCTTTCCCATGGGAGAAGAGCAGCCACAGTTTGCAAAGGCACTGCCCATGGTGCTGGTATATCAGGGGACCCTCCTACTTCGCTTAGACTGAGAGAGGTTGTGGGCTGCAGTACTAAGGGGAAGCCATTGGGTTGGGAAATGGGGTTTGCCCTTGATTTGACCTTGGCCAATGGTCTTGTGCAGTTGCTCTTCTGGAGGTATGCTTGTGGATGATGCTGAGCCCAGAGTGGAGTAGAGTGGCTTTGGAATGTAGGCTTGCCTGAGTACAGGGAGGAGAGGTTAGCATGGGGGCATGGGGACTTGTCTCCTCTGACCTGGCTTCTGAGTCTCCTTGCTCCTGTCCACAGGTCCCTGACAGGCTCACCCCGCAGCAGCAGTGAGAGCCACTCACCACTCTACATGCACCCCCCGAAGTGCACATCCTGCGGTTCTCAGTCCCCGCAGCATGCAGAGATGTGCCTGCACACTGCGGGCCCCACGTTCCCGGAGGAGATGGGAGAGACTCAGTCTGAGTACTCAGATTCCAGCTGTGGTGAGTCCCTTCCTGTCCACTCCCTCCTTACACAGGGAAAAGGAGAATTCCTTTGTTCCATGGGTAGTATGTTTCCATTTTATCTGTGTATTTATTTGGGAATGTTCCTAATGAGAAGTCTGCTAGTACTTAAAATCACCAGCAGATCACCCATTCTTCGTGTCTTGGGGAACTGGGTGGGACCAAAACAAGGGGTGGGTATTGGAGTTCATCTGGGGGTAACTGAGATGGGCAGAACCACCTGCAGAATAATTTTAGCAAAAGCAGCTTGCGGGACTGACTGTAACTCCCAGAGCTTTCCAGTCTCCCTGTGCCACAACCATCATTCTGACCTGTCTCTGTGCATCAGAGCTCCTTGTAAGGCTCAGATTCTCCGTGGGGAAGTGTCTGGCCTTATGTATTTCTGTATCCTACATAGGTCCTCGAAAGTCCCTAGTACGGAGGAGATACTTAGAAAAATAGTAGCTGAATTAAGTTAGTTAAATCAAATTATTAAATTACCATTTCTGCATAGTCAATAATTTGCATCCCCAATTTTTACCAGATAAAAAAAAAGTCTCACTATTGACCTAGCACTGGCCCAGTCAAACACAGGGTAAATCACTAGGACACTGACATATTCCAATCATTATAACCAAAGAAAAACAAATGTTTGTAGTGAGAGGGTTGGCAGAGGGTCCTAGATCCTGAGTCAGAGCAAGAGCAGAGACTGTCCTCTTCTGTGTCCTGGCTGTTTGCCTTGCTCCATTTTCTGGCTCCTTCTCTGTGGGCCTCTGTTTCTACTTCTACCATTATTGGTATTCACCCAGTCTCAGGGATATGAAATCCAGACAGATGTGAGGATGGCCACTGAGCACTTATCATCAGTCCCTCTCACTGTGGCTTCAAAGTATGATTGAGTTGGGCTTCTAGCTCATGTCCCTAGAATGCTTTCTTCTACTTTGTGTTATGTAATATGCTTCTATGTGGTAGGTAGGATAGCAATTGTGATCCTCCCTTTGGAGAATGAGACACAGAATGAGTGAGCTATTGCTGTGGATAAATGCAAATTAGTGAATAGACAAGAAAGGTTCTCAAGCTCCTGGGAAGAGGAAGAGTACTTCAGCAAACAGGAGCAGGCTACCAATGCCCATTAGTTTGTCTTGGTTCCCTTTCCACCATGATTGAGCCTCTATATATGATTCAAAAAAATCCTGTCCCACCCTCCTTTGCTCTGGCCTCCCATGAGTGATGCTGAGAGAGTCTGGGGGACCCAGAGGAGGGAGTTCTTAGAGCCCCGTCTCCCTTCCTCCTGCTGACATGGTGTCCTTTGACCTTCCAACAGAGAACGGGGCCTTCTTCTGCAATGAGTGTGACTGCCGCTTCTCTGAGGAGGCTTCGCTCAAGAGGCACACACTGCAGACCCACAGTGACAAACCCTACAAGTGTGACCGCTGTCAGGCCTCCTTCCGCTACAAGGGCAACCTTGCCAGCCACAAGACCGTCCACACAGGTATGGCCCTGGCTCACCTTCCAGGGCTCTCTAGGATTCTCAAGGGAAGGACAGGGAGAGAATTCTAGGGGCGCAGAGTGGGGCCTTGGCAGCTAGTAGGGTCAGGCAGGAAGCAGACCCATCCCAGCCTGTCTGGTCTTCACGGAGGGACTTTTTTACACATTGTGCTCCTTGTCTTTCCTCTGAGACTCTGTCCTACTTCTCTACCTTTGCTGGGGTTAGAAGTGGGTTCATCCTACAGTATTCAGGAGGAAACTGAGGCTGACAGAGACAAAGTGAATTTTTCTAAAGTGGGGGTGGGGGGTGGGGGGAGCCTTTTGATGTCCTCTATGGACGGATTCATCAACCAGCTCGCATTCCTTACTAGGTAGCTTCTTGCGATCTGATTGTTGTAGGGTGTTTATTGTCTCTTAGACCTTTTGGTGGCCCCATTATTCCAGAAACTTTCCATGGTGGAAGGCTCAGCCGTTCGTTCGCTTTCCTCTGCCTGCCCTACTCACATCCTTGCCCCACCCCTCCAGCAAATGGAATACAGCTGTAGCTGCCACAAATGGAAAAGTATGTTTGTTCTGAAAGAGAGAAACTAGAGCAGCCTGATTGTATCTCCCTGGTGAGGGAGTTGGATATTGCATCAGTTCTATCCAAGGGAAAGCCAGAACAGGCATTCCAGGTCACCTCAATTAGTCCCACTCATTCGGAGAGGGAAACTGAGGTCCAGAGAAGGACCTTGTCTTGCCCACATTCTACAGGGAGATGAACCTGATGAAAACACTGGTTTTGAAGTGCTGGCTTCATGGAACTTCCTACTCCTGTCCCATACCTAGCTTTGTTTCTACCCTACCATGCCACTGCTTGATTCTGGCTCTGCAAGAGATGATGGTGTGTATGAGAGAGAGAGAGAGAGAGAGAGAAGAGGCAAAGGAGAAGGAAGAGGAGGAAAAGGTGGAAGAGGAGGAGGAAGATGAGAGGTTATGTGAGAGTAAGAATGAGAAGGCAGTATAGGTCAAACACTAGGCTTTTTGATTCTCTTTCTTTTCCCTCAAGAGAAGGGAAAGAAACCTTTGAACAAAAGGAATTCCAGGAAGCTAGAACATGTGTTGTGGGGGCTAGAGGGAGTTTGGGGGGGGGCTGGGAGACATGAATTGTGAGGGGAGGGGTGGGCATATGGAGGCATAATATTCAATGTACATATGTGAAAATGGAGCCAGGATGAAGGGTTGAGAGAGATGGAGCAGAAGGATGCATTGTGCTCATAAACTGACATGTTGAATTGAAACCCCCTTTGTTTAAAGATAGTAACACTTTTTATTACCTGAGATGAGCAAACAGAAAAGAGGCTCATAGGAAAAAATACTTCCAAAGAGAGAGAGAGAGAGAGATAGACAAGAAAGCAGCAGAGGTGTGGGAAAGGAGCAGTTTGCCTTGAAATCCTGGGGCCAGTGTCAGTGATGACCTCCTGGAATATGGTTTTGTCTTTTCCTTTTCTCTGGGAAATAGGTGAGAAACCCTATCGGTGCAACATCTGTGGGGCCCAGTTCAACCGGCCAGCCAACCTGAAAACCCACACACGAATCCACTCGGGGGAGAAGCCCTACAAATGCGAAACCTGTGGAGCCAGGTTTGTCCAGGTAAGCAGGCAACATGGCGAGAGCCCATCCAGGGCGGTGAGGGGCAGAGGAGAGGACCTGTTCGAAGGTCTGCAGCTCCTCTTAGCAGAGCTTTTCACGCTGGGCTCTTCCTTCAGGTGGCCCACCTCCGTGCCCACGTGCTTATTCACACTGGAGAGAAGCCTTACCCCTGTGAAATCTGTGGCACCCGCTTTCGGCACCTTCAGACTCTAAAGAGCCACCTGCGCATCCACACAGGAGAGAAACCTTACCATGTACGTAAGGCCCTGGGGACTCTGGAGAAGGTGGAGGGCGGGGCGGTGGAACTGTGTGCACCAATTGCAAGCACTCGGGCACTCCTATCAGGTTGGGAGATCTGGCTCTGAGCCAGAAAGCCACAGACACCCATGTGGCAATCCCAGGTCTCAATGTATTCATCTTTGAAATGGAGGCATTGGGCTGGGCTACCTGAACCATATAAAGAAGTCCAGACAAGGGAAATCGAGCTGTTAGGTTCATTTGTTCATTCCATAAATACTTACTGAGAGCCTATAACACACTCCTATATTGTGCTAAATGTGCATTTCAGAGCAGCTAAGGTATTTGAAAAGAAGCAGCGTTAAAGGTAGGAGGAAGACTTCAAAATGTGATGTAATGAAAAACAAACAAATAACAATGACAAAGAACAAGAAGAAAAGACCATTCCAAGCAAGAGCAGCCAACCAGCTATGTAGCACCCTGCTGTGAACAGGCTGGTGGAATTGTGTTCTAGAGCAGAGTCCAGAAAAACTGGAGCTTGCAGGTTAAATTGTGAATATTGAACAAACTAGAAATGCTTTATAAAACAAAAGTAATAATTTATGAAATTGCAAAAGTATAATGAAACTTCAATTGTAGAGGGCTTTAGATGGCCACACTAATTTGTTTCTATTCTGTGCATGGCTGCTTTTGAGGAGTTTGTATGCATTACTTTCCGTGGTAACAGGCACAAGAACCAGTCTACAAGTGATTTTCCACAGCCCATAGGTTGACTTGCAAAATGGGCCTTTTTGTGTTCGCTTTTTTGTGTTGGCTTGGGGTGACTATCTCCATACTAGCTCTTTATTTATTAGTTATTCTTCAGTGACTTAATTTCCCCATCTGAAAAAATGAGCCTGAAAATGGCCTCTCCTGCCTGGAGTAGTAATACTAAGTTAACTAATTCATTCAACTGTTCAGGATAGCTTATGCATGTAGCAAGTGTATAATAATCACCCACTATGTCATGATTTGCTAGAATTTTGAAGGCAGAGGATATTGTAGTTGAGAGGGAAGATTTAGTATTTATGGCCCTAATCCTTCCAGAGCAAGAGCCAAGACCCAGGGGGAGAAAGGACACGCTCAGGACATAGTACCGTGGGTGGTGGAGAGACAGTGGATACCTCTCTGGGCCAGGCCTCTCAAGAGCCAGGGCTTCTTACCGTATTGCAATATTGGTTCATTTATTTTCTAAATCTATTTCCATTTTTATCCTAAATGCTTTCCATCCCAATAGGTCACTTTATTATTATTATCATTCAAGAATTTGAAACCAGTTTGAAACTCAGTGTCTTGCTGTTGCTGGATCTGAAGCCCTTTTGGTTTTAGGTTATTGTCTTAAGATAGAGTCTTGCTTTTTGCCCAGCTGGCTTGAGACTATGCTCTTTCCACCAATGCCTCCTGCACAGTTTAGATTGCAGATAGGAACTACTATGCCCAGCTTGTTTGTTGACCGAGGAGGCTTGCTAACTTTTTACCCAAGCTGACCTTGAACGGTGATCTGGATCACTAACTCCTGAGCAGCTGAAGCTATAGGCATGAGGTACTGCACTTAGCCCAATAATACTGTTTTATAGCAATGGTTTAAAATGTATAGAAAGATTGTGAAGATCATGCATCCAGCTTCCTCTATTGTTTACACTGTTTTTAGATACATCTTGTCACAATTAATGAATCAATGCAGATACACAATTATAAAATTACAGTTCATATTACGTTGGGTGGGGGTTTATAATTTTTTAAATGAAATTTAGTCTTAATTTTTTACTCCCAAATGCCTGTTTTTCTGTCCCATTACCTCATTACACTTAACTACTTTACTTTTAAGTGACTTTCCTTGCTAACACTATCGAATCAAAGGGAGACACAACTCAACTTACTAAGGCTTTGCTAGCTTAGCAAAGTATTTCTCCTAGGAAGGAATACAACTGTATTTTAAAGACATATCTTAGACTTGAGCATTTCCATGAATTCAGATTGGTCCAATCCATTTGTCTAAGTGCATTCCAGGTCATTGTATTATTTGCCTGAGTGATGATTTTTCTAGGTAGACAATGAAGATTAGTGAGAAGTGCTCCTTGCCCTCAAAGTATTATCTACCTGTTGAGGATACCAGTTAAGAAGGATGGCTTTGTGATAAGGCTATAAAGCTGACCTCTCAAGGAGAGAGGGATTATTATTGTTATTTTTAATCTTTGCTTCAGAAATGCCTTCACCGTTGGGGAAGTTTACATGGGAACTTATCTTTTGGCTAAGACATTAAATTCATGTCAGGGAAGAAATGTCTCAAGCCAGACAAAAGCATGAGTGACACTTTGGAAAGTGGGGCAGGGACAATTGCACAATATTTGCTTATCTCTAGAGGAAGTCTTCACCAGGCCTTTCAGAGGGAAGACCTCCTGGAGGCCCATGCAGGGGGAACCTTCTTCCTGGGGTTGGGGTGGGAGTGGTGGGGGTTTTTGAGCAATGACCTGTCTCCTGGGTTGATCATAACTCACAGTTGGCCTCTTGTATCCCACCAGTGTGAGAAGTGTAACCTGCATTTTCGTCACAAAAGCCAGCTGCGACTTCATTTGCGCCAGAAGCACGGTGCCATCACCAACACCAAGGTGCAATACCGTGTGGCCACCACTGACCTGCCTCCGGAGCTCCCCAAAGCCTGCTGAAGCATGGAGTGTTGATGCTTTCCTCTCCAGCCCCTTCTCAGAATCGACCCAAAGGATACTGTAACACTTTACAACCTTCATCCCATGATGTAGTGCCTCTCTCATCCACTAGTGCGAATCGTAGCTGGGGTGGGGGGGGTGGGGGGCGGGGCCTGGGGAGAATGGGAGCGCAGCTCCCCTTCCCTCAACTGCCATGAACCATTAAGAAAATAATATTGCTTCTTCTCCTATGTGTAAAAGCAAACTACGTCAGCCACAAGCAAAACCATTTCATAGATTCACAGTTTGGGGAGTATGCAGAAACTCTGAGTTGACTCAGTCTGCGAAATGAGGAATGTATATGTTTTGTGGGAACAAATGTTTCTTTTTTTGTATGTAAATGTGCTGTTCTTTTCAAAGACAAGACTTTGGTATGTTATCCAAGAGAGGGCTTTAATTTTTTTAACCAAAGGTGAAGGAATATATGGCAGAGTTGTAAATATATAAATATATATATATAAATATATATATAATATAAATATATATAAACCTAAAAAAAGATATATTAAAAATATAAATTGCGTCAAAGGCTCGATTTTGTATCTGCAGGCAGACACGGATCTGAGAATCTTTATTGAGAAAGAGCACTTAAGAGAATATTTTAAGTATTGCATCTGTATAAGTAAGAAAATATTTTGTCTAAAATGCCTCTGTATTTGTATTTTTTTTGCAAGTGAAGGTTTACAATTTACAAAGTGTGTATTAAAAAAAAAACACAAAAAGAACAAAAAAAAGTGCAGAAGGAAAAATGTGTAATTTTGTTCTAGTTTTCAGTTTGTATATACAACGTGTCCTCCCGGTGCCTTTTTTCACGGAAGTTTTCAATGATGGACGAGTGTGCGCCATCCCTTTTTGAAGCGTAGGCAGACACAAGGACTTGAAGTTGTCACTAACTAAACTCTCTTTGAGAACATTTGTCTCATCCCATTCTGCGTCATGCTTGTGTTATAACTACTCCGGAGACAGGGTTTGGCTGTGTCTAAACTGCATTACCGCATTGTAAAATATAGCTGTACAAATAGAAGAATAAAATCTTGAAAAGTCAAGCCGGCTTGGTCTGGAGGTCTTGTATGGGAATGAGATTTGGACATGCAATGGTAGCAGCTTCCTTAGCTGCTCTAGTGGGATACGGTCTCAGAAGGGAGAGGCTGTTGGTGGGTGTCGTGTCAGAAGGGATCCCTATTGGAGATGAGGCTGGGGTGGGGGGCTTGTTCCTGGGAGACTGGCCTGGGTCTTCCTTTCTCCCCTGCACTAGAATGGACTAAGACCCCAGGCCCTGCTCATGAAGGCCAAGTGGAGAATTCGGATGGACCCTCAGCCCCGGGCTGAGTTTTCAATACCTTCACTTCTCACTCTTCTGATACAAACATCTCTGAGCCTCTTCCCTCCCTAGGCCTTTATGTGGCTATTCTATAAAATCGGAGGAAATCAAAGGTAACTAGCCCCAACACACACTTCTTGGCTTCTGTGTTTAGAATCGTTGGTGTCTCCTGGAGATTGACAGACATCTGTAGACTCCAAAGATTAGAGGCCTAGCCAACCCCCACCCCTGCAGAGGTACTCGCTGTCTAAAGAGCTGTCTGCTGGAACTCAGCCACCCCCTCTTGAGTGGCTTGGGACCTCTATTTTCCCTCTAAATCCCCTTCCCAATCTATCCAGGAAGGGATTGGGCTAAGTAGCCCATTTATAATCCACAGTTGAGAACATAAACTCACCCTTAGCTTGCTTTGGCACCCACTTCTATTTTACCTCACAAAACCCCAGGGACCAAGTTTGATTGACAGGCCCTGAGAGCAGAGAGGACAAGTATGGTGGGGGTAACTGGCCAGGAGGAGAAATACCTAATTCCCTCTTTGTTCCTGGGTGGCAGTGGGAGGGGTCATGGTCCCACTGGTTGGGGAAGGGTGTCCCTAGGCAGTGACTTTCCAGCAGCCTCTGAACACGTGCTGGGAAGCTGAGGGAGGCTGACCACCCAAAGCCCCCAGAGAGCTTCAGAAAGTCACACTACCCTGGGCCAACTGCATGGCCTTTCAGCTCAGGTTTCCTTTGAAAATGACTTTAAAGGACTTGCCAGCTCAAGGCCTCAACTCACCCTGCTCTTTGAAAAGGGAGAAAATGATCCCTCTGCTCCCATAGAAACTTGGCAGAAGAACTTACAAAACAGACAGCTTCAGGAATGACAATTCACAGTCCGAAGGGAGGCTGGCCCCAGGGTCCCTTTGCTCCCAGAGCGTCCCCAAGTCTGTTTATATATTATTACAGTTTAATGGAGAGACAGAGGGGCCAGGGCAGGCACTGTGGGTGGTGGCTGAACAAAAGGAGAGATCAGAGGAGTGACTGAAAGTCAATTGATGATCAATAATATTTAAAAGGAAACATTTCTAAACAGATAAATTGGGGCAAAGAGAATAGAATTTCATTACAAAAGCATGGCATGAATGCAAATTTTCACACAAATATGTTTCCTTAAACGAGGTATTTAGGATGTTCTTCCCTGTCTCTTCCTCTAAGACAAAAGGGTTTTGAGGACTTTGGGAACAGGGAAGTGCATTGGTTAGCTTTGTCATTACTGTGACAGAATGCCTAACATGACTTAAGCTAGGAATGATATATTTTAGCTCATGGTTTTAGAGGTCCATGGTAGCTCTATGAATTCTGGATCCGTGGTAAGTCTGAATATCATGGTGACCAAAGCATGTGGCAAAGGCTACTCACTTTATGGTAGACAAGAAGCAGACAGACAAAGCAAAATGACACAGAGAGACAGAAATGATCAGAGACAAGGTACAACTCCCCAAAACAGGTCCTGAGTGACCAACTTCCTCTAGGTAGGTCTGACTGCCTAGATTCCAGAACCTTCTCAAATAGTGCCACCAACTAGGGACCAGCCTTTCAATACATGAGCCTATTGGGCAAACATTTCATAGCCAGACCATCACAGCATTGTGAATGGGTAGACAGAGCAGAACTGTTTAGGAGTTGGAAAGGATGAGTAGGGGTAGAATGTATCCTGTAGTTCAGATGTCTTGTCTGAGCTATGAGGACTGGAGGGAGGAGAGGAGAGACTGGCCTAATGCCATCCAGTGGCTGGGTGAGTATGGAAAAGAGATGCAAAGGTTCTATTTTAGAAATGAGGAAGTGGAGGCTGAGTCTTGACCAAGGTCACACTGCTAGAAGAATCCAGATAATAAAGTTCATAGAACTTTAGTTTACTTCAGCTTCTTGGGTTTCCATTTCTCTCTATGTATTGTTCACCATAGTGATTAGTGATACACTGTCTCATGTTTTATCAGATGTACACTTTAGAAAATACAAAGAAACTGGAATACGGAAGAGAAGCAGAGAGAAATTGACCTCTCCACAGCAGCTGGGTCACATTAGTTGCTGAGCACCAGAGAGGTCCTCAGAACTGGAGTGACTTTCTAGTACCAGATTTCTGCTCTTATTTTTTTCTTTTTTTTAAATTTTAATTTTTTATTGTGAACATACTGTACAGAGGGGTTACAATTACATGGGCAAGATAATGAGTACATTTTTTATCAAGCATTGCAGCCTCCTCCTTTGTTTACCCTTCACATCCCTTCCCAGCCTCCCCCCCTCCCCCCAGCCCCACCAAAGTTGTAAAGTTCGTTTTCGACATGACAACTTGTCCTTCTCATTGTTGCAACGGGTCCACCTGTATCCTTAAACGACTTGTTTTTCCCCTTCTCCTCCACAAATTATACCAATATCAAATATAGTGAAAGCAGGGGTTATAGCCAAGTCTTGGTTCCTGGGTCATCTCTGGTCTGCGAACTGCAGGATGAAGATGTCCGCTCCTTGTCGGTTCTTGCTGGTGGTGAATAGAATCCGCCCGCCTGCTGCGTCTGGCTCCTTCCTCCCGGACTCTCTGTGATTCAGGTATGGCGGGTTCAGCCACCGTGCTGCTGCCGCTGCTGCAGCAGCTACTGGCAAGCGCTCAGAGCTGTCTCCTTGCCTGGATTTTCCCTCTCTGGCCTAACTCTCTGTCCTGTGATGGCACACTTGGTGTGATTCTCTGGCTTAGGACTGTTCACTGGAACTCTAAAACTGCTTTCTATGTGAGAGCTTGTTTAGCCTCCGCCATCTTCCCGGAACTCCCTTTTTCTTCCTTCTTTTCTTTCTTTCTTCCTTTCTTTCTCTTTCTTTCTACCTTTCTTTCTTCCTTTTTTTTTCTTTTCTTTTTTGTCAGTTTTGGGACTTGAACTTTGGGCCTGGGCGCTGTCCCTCAGCACTTCAGCTCAAGGCAAGCACTCTACCACTTGAGCCACAGCACCACTTCGTTTTCTGGTGGTTAATTGGAGATAAGAGTCTCACAGACTTTTCCTGCCCAGGCTGGCTTTGAAGCACAATCCTCAGATCTCAGACTCATGAGTAACTAAGATTACAGGCATGAGCCACTGGCACCCAGCCTGCTCTTAAATTTCTAGACCACCACCTCTCTTACTCTTACATTGTAATAAGATCTTAGTATCCGTGCCCCTATCTCCAATTCTTTGTCCTGGTCTGTGTGGGTCCCCATTTCCTAGAACAACAACAACAAAACCCACAATTTACTCAGACATCCAGACCTCTGGAGTGTTTGCCATTGGAAGGATTCTTACATATCCTTTGATTACATCTAAGCTTCTTGATAGTAGAGTCTAGGATTCCTCCTAGGTAAAACACAAAAATTTGCCCAAACGACTGTGATGCCTTCGAAAGAATGTTCCTTTAGTCCCCTACAGAGAAGATGAGTCATGAGCTCAGTGTGCCAGGACCAGGGTGCCCAGCAGCTCTGAACCTTCATCCAAAGTGAAGCAAACTTCAGTGATCCTCATGAAGCTGGGCTCTTAGAAAGATGCATGCTAAGGCAGAAGAGCCTTGGAGTCCAGGTAGGGTATTCAGGGGGGCTTGGAGGCCCCGGAGTACCTACCATACTGTCTTCCCAGTGTTTGGTGGTCTACTTTGCTTATTGCTTTATTCATTTATCCCCACACAATTGGTTGCTTAGTACATCCATGAAATGAGTCAGGCCCTCTACTCAGGAAGTTTGCTCAACTAGCAAGCATGCATGGAGTCAGAATCACA